ATATTCGAACGTAAACAGTAAATTTTATTTGAGTCTTTCTGTATTTTACCGTGAAAATTAGTGTCTGTAATTCGGCATTCTCACAATTCCACAGAAATGTGGCACAGCTTAATCGCTACTGACTTCTGCTTGTCATGTAAAATGTAATCCTACTATGTTATTCCTACCAGCTAACTTGACGCTGCTGTCCATAATATCCACCAGTACTACTGCCTTTTACCTGTTTTTTTCATTTGCAGGAAACCACTCACACAAGGAAGACTTATATCCCAGTCTGACTCTGCTTTAGGAGCTGAGATTTCACGAACTGAAAGCCCTTCACAGAGGTTATATAAGCCAGGTACAGTAGCCTCACACTGAACATTTCATCAGACGCTAGAGATTGTTTACTTGGGTCCAAGAATTTGTGAAGTTAGTTAAAAACTGATTGAAATATTTCAAAGTTGAAAGTGTATCTTATATCAATCTAGCATTGATTTGGTGAAGGTAGTTACACGGCTGAAGCAAGTTTTGTTCTAAGAGATGTAGAAAGGTGTTGTCTTAGAGTTCATTTTGTATTTGTGAGTCATGGGGAACTTTGTGTGTTGCCAACTCAGAATTAAAAAAAAAAATCTGTACTTTATTTCATATTTCAGGCACAGATGGAAGTTACAAAGTGAGCTATGATGGAAGCAGTACAGGAGATCTTTCTCCCAGACAGAAGTTGAGTAGCCATAAGAAAGTCCATGCTGACCACCATGTAGAGGATGTATTATCTAGCCCAAGAAGGTATATACATACATACATACATACATACATACATACATACATACATACATACATACATACATACATACATGCACATTCTGTTTTAGCCACCCAAAAGTGGTCAAGGTAACTGATATAAAATAAAACATGATGAAACTGTTCTCTTTATGTACACTAAGTAACAGTTTCAACCATGGTGAATAATGTGATTATTTTTGTGTAATTTTTGTGAAATGTGTATTTTTTGCATTAAAATGTATTGGATAGAAAACCATTTTGTTGAAGATTATTTGTCAGTGGTGAATTCAAGTTTCATTCACAGTTGTAAGAGCCCCTTTTAAAAAACAATAATGTAGTAAATTAATGAGGTTCTTTGCTTGTTTCAGAGCTCAACCAAACCAAACAGAACACCATTCTCCGAAACGGGTCACACCATCCAGATTATTAGAATTATCAGACAGTGATGATGAAGTGGCATTTAAAACAAGAGTGAGTTATTAGAATTATCAAACAGTTATGATGAGGTGGCATTTAAAACAAGAGTGAGTTATTAGGTGATGTTCTCATTGCATCTGATTAACTGTTCATAGCACTTAAGTACCTTTCCATTTTGTTTTTACTCTTAGTAACTGTGCATTACCAGTCATGTATAGTATGATTCTGCAGGAAGACAACAGACCAACACCATGTCATATCATGTCAGTCTCTGTGTATATCCTGATAGTGTGTTGCTATCACTGTCCCCCATGTTACTGGTTTTCTCACTTCCAGAGATCTCCCCGTGTAATGCAGCACATCAAGCACAGTCCAGCGCCAAATGTCCTGGTAGTGGACGCGTCCAGACAGACCAGACAGCCTCTGGACACAGAAGTGGACATCCACCTGGGGTTTGAACACTCCCCTGTCAAAGTGGTCTGCCACTCCCCGGGGGCCGTACATTCTGACCTCAGGTAATGAGAGGGCTGGATTATGATCAACTTCCTCCCCCTCCCCTCCTCTCTCTCTCTCTCACATACACACACACACAACATGTATATGTGTTTTTTTATATTTATTTATTATTGGTTCACAAATTAGACCTTTTTAACAGGTTTGTCAAAATAATGAGACATTTGTACCCCATTAAAATACTTATTTTTGAATTTTGTGCATGTGCTGAAAAAAACCTAAAGCTTTCATCACCCAAGCATTTTTATAAAGAAGAACAATTCCAAATGATGATTATTCAGACATTACAATCTTGAAGCATCTTTTCCCATATTTCATCCCCCAGGAACACAGGGGACACTGCAGCAGCCAGGAGGGTACAGGTGGACCAGGTCCCCTCTGTGAACATATTGTCTGGGAACACAGATATCCCACAGTCAGACCAGGAAAGACCAGGACACCGGTTTAAGTCTCCTATGGTCATCAGAGAGGCTGCAGTGGCAGGTAAGTAAACCATAAGTTCTGTCTCCTGTCTATGTCAGAGAAAGACATAAGGGCAGATTAAGCCAGGTGTTGTAACTGTCCTTGAAATCTAAACTGGCATCAAATTACATGTCTTAACTTGCTTGCCTGAATAACAATAACAGGGGATAATTCCCACTCGTTTTGTTATTAACTTTCAACTGGTGGCTGTGTAAAAGAGAAATGACAGTAAGGTGTCTAAGCAATGTCAGTTCCATGTCTTAGTGATGACTGGTGGTGTTGATACAGGTTTTCGTTAGAACAAGTGTACTAGCATAGTGAACCACTGCTTTTATTATGATATCACAATGTTCCATATTTAAGGTGGCAAGATTGACCATCATTCTGCAGTGGAGACAGTGGACACAACTGACCACTTGACCAGGCCAATGAGGGAGGACCTTCAGTACCAAACTTACCAGCAACCCAGAGTAACCATAGGAGATAGTGGAATACCAGGAGTAGAGCCCCTCCCTCAGAGTGACACTGCCTCTGTGGAGGAGGTGTACCATGAAGTAAAACCTAAGTAAGTACACATGTACTGATGAGTTATACCATGAAGTCAAACCTAAGTAAGTACACATGAATCATTAAAGAATCTAAAGTGTATGAACTTGTTCAATGAATTTAAGATAAATGATAGAAAGATGTCTTCATTGTGCCATTTTTTTCCAGGTTGAAGGGTTCAGTGGTAGGGCCGTCAGCAAAGAAGGAAAAGAAAAAACAGTCAAAAGGTGATTTATGAAACACGAAGGACATTTTTCTTACATCACTGAAAACACTGAAATCATTTATTCATTTATTTTGTGGTTAAAACTGTTAACAGTGCTATCCCTGTGTTGTTAACAGTGCTATCCCTGTGTTGTTAACATTTCTATCCCTGTGTTGTTAACAGTGCTATCCCTGTGTTGTTAACAGTGCTATCCCTGTGTTGTTAACAGTTCTATCCCTGTGCTTACAGAGAGAATTGTACCCTCCAGATATATGCAGAGTGGGACATCATCCAGACACAAGGGACAGGTAACCACTGCACTGAGGGGATTTCAATATCTTTTTGTGGCACCTGACTTGGGGATGTGTGATTATGTACTATAACTGAACATTCCTTGTTTTCACTAGGCATAATGAATTTTATTTATCTCTTTGAAAATGTCATGATACATGTTACATGTATGTCTTTGTAGACATTAAAAATTTAAGTTATAACTGTCATAAAAATCTTATATCTTTAAACTGAATACTTGCTTATCCTCTTTTAGCCATGGTCAGCCCGTAAGGCTTGTTAGCATTCTCTGCCATCTTCTTTTAATATGTATTGTTGCTGTGCTGGCTTATTTCAGTCATTGGTTGGTAAGAGTGGTGCAAGGAGTAGTGCCACAGAAACAAAGAAGACACATAAAAGACCAGTTGTCAGTAAGAAACGTACAGCCCCAGACTTCAGCACCACTCCAATGGTGAGAGGGGTGTCCAAGATGGCCTCCACCCCTGCGGTTGACACATCCTCTTACCCTCAACCAGGACCAATTGATGTCTCTGCCATTGCAACAGATCTCCCACACCTGAGCATGGCAGGTAAGTAAACCCTCAGCCAAAACCCACAGTGGTCTCTGTCATTGCAGCAGATCTCCCACACCTGAGCATGGCAGGTAAGTAAACCCTCAGCCAAAACCCACAGTTGTCTCTGCCATTGCAGCAGATCTTCCACCCCTGAGAATGGCAGGTAAATAAACCCTCAGCCAAAACCCACAGTTGTCTCTGCCATTGCAGCAGCTCTCCCACACCTGAGAATGGCAGGTAAATAAACCCTCAGCCAAAACCCACAGTTGTCTCTGCCGTTGAAGCAGATCTCCCACACCTGAGCATGGCAGGTGGGCAGTACTTGGTGAACTAAATTACTGGGCTAAAAGTAACGTGTGGAAGATGTTTGAGTATAAATGTTGATCTCGTCTTATGGATACGTACATTTGAAAAGTGGCATGGATTATATCTTATTAAACCTTAGACAACAATATTGATCTTAGCTAAAGCCTTTCATTGTATATTTTCCTTCAGGACCTCCAAGCAAACCTCCTGCCGCAGTCTCAGTCCAAAGACCTCCCAGTAAAACTTTATCTAGGACAAAACATAAACAGCCAAAGAATGTGTCAGTGAAGGAAGAGTCAACTCGGGAAATGAGTTCACAGCATTTATCATCAGCTTCTGTAGCTACCCAGGATTCTGCCTACTCATCACACTCTCAGTCTCACACCACAAAGAAGGTAAATATGACAACATTTATCATTAGTGTCATCATTAAGATTCTGCCTATTCTTTTTTCTCTTTGTAATCAACATTGCGGTATTTCAGAAAACATTCATAGTTTACTCTTTTAGTAGGTTAAAACTTATTTTATTCATTCATGGAAAACATCTCTGTGATAGGGATTATAGATAGGAATAAATGGTTTTTATGTAAGTTTTGATTTAAAGAACTTATGGAAGGCTTCAAAACTAAACTTCCCTACCAAAATGAAACTGAATACAACATCATAAAGATTTTAAATTTTTTTATTTTTTAGAAGTCTTCCCCTTCTCGAATCACTCAGGAATCTCTCGACCTTCAATATGCCAGGTATTTACAGTGGGTGTTTCTGGAAACTAAAGCAAAAAAGGAATTTCAGGAACAGGAGAAGCAAGTCGTGGTATGTACAGGTCCAGTTGACTGTAACATTTAACCGGCACTGTAATTATTAAATTTTGTTGATATGAAAACAGTTTTTTTTTGTGTGTGTGTGCATGAAATAACATTTTGAAATGATATATATTTGTATGTAAATGAAATGACATATGTGGTTGTCTCTAGGCACAGTTGTATGGTTTGTGGGAAGAAAATCAAAGGCTGCTACAGAAAAAGGCAGAAGTGGAGCAGACATATGAACAGCTGAAGCATGCAAATAAACTGGATGAATTGCTCGAATTGCAGGTATGCAAAAGGAAACTCAGAACTACTGGCACAACCAGATGGTTATGTTATACACTCATAGGTACTGGCACAACCAGATGGTTATGTTATTCACTCAGAAGTACTGGCACAACCAGATGGTTATGTTATACACTCAGAGGTACTGGCACAACCAGATGGTTATGTTATACACTCAGAAGTAATGGCACAACCAGATGATTATGTTATACACTCACAGGTACTGGCACAACCAGATGGTTATGTTATACACTCAGAGGTTCTGGCACAACCAGATGGTTATGTTATACACTCAGAAGTACTGGCACAACCAGATGGTTATGTTATACACTCAGGGGTACTGGCACAACTAGATGATTATGTTTTACACTCAGAGGTATTGGCACAACCAGATGGTTATGTTATACACTCAGAAGTACTGGCACAACCAGATGGTTATGTTATACACTCAGAGGTACTGGCACAACCAGATGGTTATGATATACACTCAGAAGTACTGGCACAACCAGATGGTTATGTTATACTTGAATGTTTAAATATCAATAAACAATGACTCACAATAGGAAACAAGTTTCTTGTGAACTTAATGCCAGTTAAAAAAAACTTTCTTTAACTACAGCAAGCTTGGTAATTTTGCAATAACTGTTAGTCATTGTACCAATGTTGTTAGTTGAAAAGTGAACTACTTGCCATCCCATATTACAGAAGGCTGGTTTAGGACCAGTAGCAGCTAACCTGCCTGGCTTGAGACAGCAGTACAGTACACTGGCCCAGGCTCTGGACACCACACGGCACCAGATACTGTGTAGAGGAGTACATATCCCAGAGAATGAGGAGGACTTCCAAGGTATTGACCTCTATGGCCCCATTCAGAAAAGCAGACTTACTAGTCCGAGGATCAAATATAGCAACCCACTACAAAGCCTGCTGTCTTATCCACTAATAGACACTGAACAGATATCCCATGGGGAAATATTCAAGCGGGTCAGCCATATTTGACCTTCAGACATGTTAGTTCCTATTCTGAATAGGGCCTATAAAGGTCAAGGTGATAAGGTCAATAAAGGTAAAAAATTAGGTCTATATAGGCTAAGTTTATAAAGTGATGAAGGTCAAGGTCAGTGAGGTCATGAATATCGTGGTTGATTGTGTCCCTGTATTCCACTCATCACCAGTGTGATCACTGCATCTTAACTGGCTTACTTATTTCTTTTCTTGGTTACAGTATCATTAATATTGTGGTTGATTGTGTCCCTGTATTCCACTCATCACCAGTGTGATCACTGCATCTTAACTGGCTTACTTATTTCTTTTCTTGGTTACAGTATCATTAAAACCCATGCATACGTTTCATTATAATTGTGGCAAAGTGTATAGCACCACATTTCTTAGTTTTAGTCTATTATCATAAGCGTTGAGTCAGGGAGGGCCGTGACATCTAACATTTGTTCTTGGGTTTTATAAATTATGTTACATGATTTCAGAAGCTATGTTATCAGCACTAGCAGAGAGCGAGCAGCTTCTTGGGGAACTTAGTGTAATGACGAGGCAACAGCAGCCTAAAGTGACCTCTTTTGCTAATGCGATCCAAGCTTTAGAGAAAGCAGTTGATGAAGAGAGTAAAGAACTCAAAAGGTATATCTTCACATTTGTAAAATAATCATAACCATTCACTGCTGAGTCACCAATAACTTCTTATAGTGTTATGTGGCATGTATTGTATTCACATATACAAGTCCAATAATCACATAGTTGTACAATTGAATACAGAGAAAGACAAATACAGATGTTAATTAATTCACTTTATTTTTTTTCAGGTGTCAGGAAATGCAGGCAGCTGTACAGACTTTAGCCACTCAAGAAAGCTCCCTGAAAATACAGGCCGTTCAGATCAGAGACGAGGAATGAGAAATGAATGACTTAAGCCACTCTTGAAAGCTCCCTGAAAATACAGGCCGTTCAGATCAGAGA